CATTCATGACATTAAATATCCTCAAAATATAACGTCACAAACTATGGTCCATATGAACTATTTACAAGCAGTTAAAAAGACAAAATGATGTTCAAGGATGTTCATTCATGAATGTGTCGATAAGCACTTACAGGGCTCTTTGTGGGAAACAAAAACATGCACTGTGTGTTTGTATTCTCTAAATAGATCATAGTTTGATTGTTTTACGATATTTTTTACACTTTGCATTTCTGGAATTCAAGGTCTATAGAATTTTGAGTTGGGGTCTCAGATTTAGAAAGTATTAAGTAACATAATGTATTACATCAATAAAATAGTTGCATATTCATACAAAACTGCTACAACACATAATTATTTATCTGTGAACATCCTAGACAACATTTTATGAATACAAACTGTATTTTTGATATTAAGTCAAGACCTATAAAAGTTACTAAAATATCTTTATAACCTGACATCTTTCTCTGTCCAGAAGTCTATTTCTGGACACATTAAGATGCTGGCATGATTTGACAAAATGTTTGCCTACTATAACGTCTGCTAGGATTTGAACTGTGGTCAGTGACTTTGAGTCATAAAACCATTTTAACTTGACTGGCAGAATCGTGTCACTCTTGTTATTCGTGTTCTGTGAAATTTACTCTTGTACTTTAATTCCCGGCATTTAGTATTTAGCACCCATATAAATGTATCATATTCTTTGTTATTTCAGCCTTTTAACACCGAAATAAGTCATTTTAACTTGGTATTTTTGTAATTGAAAGTAAACTGAATGTTCAAGCCCACTTATTTTCTGATTAATAAGAGTTTGCAATCTTAATGTTTAAAAATGCATCTAGACAAAGACTAATTACTACGAGTATTGAAGTAAGTATCTTTAATCCTTCAGAGGAATTAAACCCTGATAAAACATTGGGGTTGTCTGTAAATTAAGCTACAGTCGCAACCAAACAACAACTTTCAGACCTGACACTTCCATTTGTGTTATTGTAGTAGCTGACAAACGAGTGCAAGAAAAAATATCGGTCCTGCCAAGTAAAAAATGTGTTATGAATAATAGACTAACTGGCCCGACAGACGTCGTCCTGTCCTAATGTGGTTTTATGTCAAATGCTCGTTCATTTTCAAGATGAGCTCATTTGCATGGCTCAATCACGTCATGTTTCAAGTTCGTTCGCTACGCTCACTCACCTTTAGGTTGGAGCTCGTTCACTGCGCTCACTTGCCTCCAGGTTGAAGTTCGTTCGCTACGCTTACTCACCTTTTGGTTGCAAATTAGCTGTTGTCATAAATTTAAAAAAAATAATAGTGCTGCACCCTGTTGTTAAACCTATTAACTTTTTAATGCTATTGAACATCACAGAATTAAATTGTTTGGTTGACCCAGCTGTTAAGATTCTTTAATTTCATTTAAATATGAGTACTCATAAGGTTAACATGGGAAACTCCAGAGCTACTGAAGCGGAGCCCTTTTGACGGATCTGCACCAAACTTCACACAAACCATCCTTGAATAATGCTTAAATGCCTGAAAGTTTTATTACAATCTGTCGAGCGGTTTCGGAGTCCATAAAGGACAAACAAACAAACAAACAAACAAACAAACAAACATACAAACAAACAAAATTGGATTTCATATATATAGATTAGATTTTTTAATTACTGTAATTAGAAAAAGTGATTTTTGATCAAACTAGCAGAGTGCCCGTTCTACAGTCAGGATCTTAATCAGTTAAAACCTTATTGTATTCAGAACAGCAGTATGTTTGCATATCGAGTTTGCATTTCTTTACATATTAAGGCACAACTATTACACACAATAACCGTTGCAAATACCATATGTGACAATTCACATGAAGACAATATAAACCATATATCTGACAAATTCAAGACAAACCGAATGCCTCGCAAATAAGTGTCACGGGGTTACAGGGATATCTATTTCTTCGAGTCTATATTTTACATCCCATTATTAAACTAAAAAAGCAGCTTTATATGTCTGTGAAGCTAAAGCATAGCCCTAAGATAAAATTTAAACCTACTTCTAGACTGGTTTAAAGTAGATAATACTCCTCACCATTGCACACTTTATACCAGTTGGCATTTTCATTAACAATGTTGCTCTTGTCTTTTCCTTGTTGCCTATTTTTGGAAAATTTTTAAACCTTATAACACTCTGTTCCCTTTATTCGATCTTGCTAGTTCAGTAACTCAATCAATTTTATCCAGCCCTAAACAAGTAGGCCTATGTCATGTCAAGCTTTATAAAATTGGACCAAAATTACTTGAGTTGTCATGTTTAGGGTAACAAACGATATAAATATAAAAATTTAAACAAATAGTCTTTTTGAACTCTGTGGACATCAAAATGAATAAGTAAATCAGTTCCCGGTCTAGGTTTGACCATGCCACCTAAGGTGATAGCTCCCCAATACAGAAATTTACTAAAAGAAAAATCTTTGGCCGTCTCCTTTAACAGGTTTTGTTTGCAATCCCTTTGAACCCTTCCCGGACTATAGGCAGATATATCCGCTATAATTTTGTGCATAGCGGACAGTAGGCAGATATCCGTCTATCTACTTTGGCTCTGTGAACGGTAGGCGGATATATCCGCCGATTATTACGACATCTATTGTTATAGTTGATTATAAAGGGTGATTTTTTTATTGGTGCGGTTTTTAAAACTAAATATAAAAATGAAAAACAACCTGCATTGACATAAAAATGCATTTATTTGAACTACAGTGTCATGACATTACGTTTAAAAAATTATTTCTAGCATATGGGCTCCATTCCGTTCGCGTAGAAAGCCCAATCAAGAAGTCCAATTTTCGAATACTCTTTCCAGCAGCTGTGGTTGAATTCCGCCAATAACTTGACGAATGTTAGCTTCCAAGTCATTTATAGTTTGTGGCTTGTCAGCGTATACTTGAGACTTAACATATCCCCACAGAAAGAAGTCTGTTGTCAAGATATCACACGACCGTGGGGGCCAGTTGACACTACCTCTAAATGAGATGATACGTTCACCAAATGTTTCTGCTAAGAGGCCAATTGTGTCGTTTGCCGTGTGGCACGTCGCGCCGTCTTGTTGGAACCAGACATTTTCTAAATCCACTTCAAGTTCGTTTAGCTGAGGAACGAAAAAGTCCTGTAACATTGCCCGATAGCGTTGAAACTTTAAATGACTTGGAAGCTAACATTCGTCGAGTTATTGGCGGAATTCAACCACAGCTGCTGGAAAGAGTATTCGAAAATTGGACTTCTTGAATGGGCTTTCTACGCGAACGGAATGGAGCCCATATGCTAGAAATAATTTTTTAAATGTAATGTCATGACACTGTAGTTCAAATAAATGCATTTTTATGTCAATGCAGGTTGTTTTTCATTTTTCTATTTAGTTTTAAAAACCGCACCAATAAAAAAATCACCCTTTATAACAACATTAATCTTGGTAAAAACGGTCTTTTATTCAATAATATCTTTAACTGATGTAGCCTACTAGGAATGTTTTTCGAAAGTTATAAAAAAATTTAACAAAAAATTTATTTTTAAAAAAATATATAAAAAATAAAAAATATTTTGGACATTGTGCTGCATAGGTCAACTATTTACAACATTGTATAGATTATAGGTGTAAAAAATACATTTTTATATATCTTTTTCAATAACTTTGCTGTCTGTATAGGGGGAAAGGGTTAAACTCATTAATACCATCAACTTCCAACCAAGCTGGACGCCTTTTTTTGCAAATGCTGCTCCTTATTTTAGCCACACAATAGTAGGCTAAGCTTAATATTGATTACACACACTTACCAACTTCGGTTGGTAAGCATATGGAAAGACCTCAACGCTCGTCAGTGCAATGTCTTAGCCAACTGAGCCAACATGTCACCTTCGGCCGACTGAGAATAGTTTATAGATGACTGAATGCAACACTAGCACTCACAGGTTAGATTAAACCACTTAAGCACCAGTGGGTTAGCAGTACGTTCCTCTGCGCTGCAAAATGCCGAGACAGGCTATATAGAAACTTAAACACAGAATGTGTTACACTCAGTATAAAGTCCCACTACTCCAAAACCCGCGATTTTGAATATCCGCCTATTACGAACTAAACATTGAAAAATATTATTATTATTTTTAATTTGTTAAGAAGCTAACATGAAATGAAGAACATTATTCTGGATTCCCTCTAATCAAAAATAGATTTGGTCCAAGTTAGTTCGGAATAGTTAGACTATAATGTACTTGTCAAATTTTATTCTCATCCTTTTCAGAAAAAAAGGCAAAACTAATCGCACCATAATGATATGAACCAGCTAGAATGGTACTGCAGTAGAGAATGTAAAGAACATGGTACTGGTGTCAAATGTTAAATACCCTTGTAATGAACAAGTAAAATATTTTTGCAAAACCTCTGTAGGATGAAAGTATGATAAGTAACATATTCATAGGACATAAAACCTACAAAATAAGCACACTTTCTGTTTATTATTTAATTTTATTTAAACTACTAGCTGGCCCGACAGATGTCGTCCTGTCCTAATGTGGTTTAATGTCAAATGGTCGTTCATTTTCAAGATGAGCTCGTTCGCATGGCTCAATCACGTCCTGGTTGAAGTTTGTTCGCTACGCTCACTCACCTTTAGGTTGGAGCTCGTTCGCTGCGCTCACTTGCCTCCAGGTTAGCTCGTTCGCTGCGCTCACTTGCCTCCAGGTTAGCTCATTCGCTACGCTAACTCGCCTCCAGGTTGAAGTTTATTCGCGACGGATCTGCACCAAACTTCACACAAACCATCCTTGAATAATGCTTGATAATGCCTGAAAGTTTCAATACAATCTGTCGAGTGGTTTCGGAGTCCATAAAGGACAAACAAACATAGATTGGATTTTATATATATAGATTGTCCATAATAACTGGAATTTTTTATCGAGATACATGACCAATATAAATAAATAACTCATTCTACCTTTCATGTGCATGTCTTTTTGTTACAGTACACTCCAAGGGACAGACACAGACGGGCAGATGTAGGTTCTTGGCTCATGGAGGAGGTTACATGTGGATACTCACCCAGGCAACTCTCATCTACAACAACAAAGGCCATAAACCTCAGAGCATCGTGTGTGTACATTTCGTCACAAGGTAGGGATCTACAAGATTTTATCATATGCATGTATTTATTTACTGGTTATACATGTATGTCATTATTCTGTTTCAGAGTCACCTTCTCATTTCACTAACAGGTTCTTTAACTTTTTTTATCATTTTTAATGTTTTGTTGTTTACAGCTTTATTATCTGGCTTTTATGATTTTCTGTGTATTTTCAGGATGGAAATTTGTTTCCTTGAATTGTCTTGTTTTCCCTATATTAGCAAATATTTTTGTACATGTTTTATTTCATTTTTCAGCATTAAGTCCACAACTGATTTTTAATATTTACGGTAATGTCAGAATTACAATGTTCTAGCTAAAATGGTAATCAGATTTTACTTTTTCCAAGTGTTAATTATTACAGGATTTATAACCCTGGAGCATAATATGAGTTTCTTACACATCCATAACTACACTCAAATTTAGTGATAAATTTTATAGAAATTTTAATCCATCCATTAAAAAAGAAAAACACTACCGTTACATAACTTGGGGGAAAGCACTTAAAGGCTAAACTAAGGTATTATAGCACAAATAGACCCATGTTTTATTCCAGATTATAAACTATGTCCTTACTAAATGTCATTCAATTGCATTCAGCTATGCGGGCGTAATTGAGTAACAATCATCCATCCAATATTCACTTTTATACATGTTAGCTTAAAGCAAGCTATTTCATATTTTTTATGTAATTTTCCTTGTTTATTTAAAAATGTTAAAATCATTTTATTTTGGCTATTTTTCTACTTACTTACACATAATTTTGATTGTGCAATATGACTGATCTTTGATTTAATTTTATACTTACAGTACTACGTACAAGAAAAAGTGCAGTCCTTTAGTAGAGTTTGCACCAAAGATAACACCTCCAAATCACTGTTATTGTACTTCATAGAATAAACCTTGACCTTATGAGCTTGTAATCGTTTATGCAACTTAAGCTTTATCAATATGTCAAACCTTTTTATAATGAAAGGATAATTACCATACTGGTTTGTTTTGTTACAAAAATGTTATTTTAAGCCACACAAAAATTTGTTTACCTTCTATATTAGCCTTTAAATTTCAACTCTTTTACATTTATCATTACATTTTATGATAAATCATGAAACATTTTATGAAACATTCAGGTCAAAAAATATGTTATGTAAGCTAGTATAGAAGAATATCTCTTTGACTTGTACATTTGTTACAAATTACACGAAGTGTGATTGTTTTTATTGTGATTTGTTTTATTGTATTGATAAATATACATATAATGCATATTGCCTGTATACAGTTGATAGCTTCTTGGTCATCTTTGCCGTCTAATATTTGACGGAAACATATAAAATGTACTTTTAAGATTGATGCAATATTTTGTATTATCCTTTTTTAACACAATTTAAGATAAAAATATTAATATTACAAATATTAACACCAACTCAAGTATCTATAACAGTATGTAATCTGATACTTGATTTGTGCCTAGAGTATACAACTTGCTCTGTGTATCTCTTACACATGCAGGCAACAAGGAACGTTGACCCAAAACTCAAACAGCAATCGGGCAACACATTTCAGTGGATAAATCTCAATTGTCTAAAATTGAATAATTGGCAGCTGGTGTGGTAGTGATGAGCATTGGGCAGCAGCCAGTAGGCCGGCCATGTGACTGGTATTGCTGCCAACCTCATGCCATGTGACTCGCTCAAGCTTGCCAACCTTCCAACTCCCGCACCGCACCACTCATTCTACTCTCCACACTATTTATAGGCTCATCTGATTTTCGCTTCTAGACTCTCAGTTAAATTTGCCTTGTATTATCTTTTTACACTGAAATTCCTTTGCCATATGATGTTTTATGATTACTAATTGTTATAATTGTTTCCTAATGTACCATAAGGCAAGTATCAATCATTCATTGTCCACATCAACCAAGGGAAATAACAAATTACCTTTAAAATAAATAATAGGCTCTTTAGATTATTCATGTTTAGTTTTAAGGTGCATAGGAAAACAAGGAAATTGAAGTGTAAAATCAATCTTGAGTCTTTATTTATAAAATGCTCACAGTACGAACTAACAAAAATTAAGACTAGTTTTGGGGGGGGGGATTATAAAACTGTTATTATGTAGGCCTACTAAGTATACACTTCTAAGTTCATCATTTCTGAAAATTGGAATTCGACCAAAAAACTACTATAAGATAGGACACCTCTTTTCCATCTTCCACTATTTCCTCTACCACAAACCCTTTAGCAAGAGAACTAAACAACAAACAGTTTATAACCATTACAGTTCAAAACTAACTATTTAAGTAGCTACTACCTACAAAATATAACCAACACCCACAATCCAAAACATGGTTATGGACTCATAAATCAAAAAATGCGGTGTAAGTTGGTTATTTGTGTTTTGGGTTAGAATGAAATGCGTAGCCATATCATAGCACAATAAAAAAAGCTGTAAAACTAAAACAATACCCCATCAGTTTGTCTTTAGAAATTGTTATTACAAATGGTTGAAAAAATGTTTAACTTTTTTATAGGAATGTGTCATAGAACATCTCCACTGCTGCTTTCCCTAAAGTCAAGCCATGCTTCTGTGTAAACTAACTTTGACAGTAAAACTTTAAGTAAAGAATAATCACTGAGTTTCTGGAATAATACAATATTTCAAAGGCACATTTAATATTTGAATCTATTGAAAGTCAATTTTCCCATCAAGACCCATATTAACTCTGCACAATGTAGAGTGCCACACCTCTACTAATAGTCTACACCTATACACCTGATATAGGCTAAACTTATCTTCAAGCTTGTTTAGGTGTTGATTAGGCAACTCATAACAGACAGCCACAGCCAATACCTTACGTAATGTAGTACTTGTCACCTTCCATACATTGCTATTGAACATTTGGCTCTCTGGTCCTGATCTGGATGACATTTCAACAGATAGCTTGGCTCAGTAACCAAATTGTTGTCACTTCACAGTCACAGTCACAGTCACAGTGGATGCATTCATTCAGTTACTTGGATTTAACACTATACAAAGCAATAATTCATTAAAATTATGTTAACCTATAATAAGTATTACACTACAATATTACTAAATAATTGCACTTCACTTATCTATATCTGTTAACTCGTTTTAGATGTTTTTCAATATTTTTATGCCTTTTTTCATTGATCCTTCAGTTTGCAATGAGAGGCTGATCATCAGATCAAAGGATAAATAAATATTTCACAAATTCATAGCAACTGCTGGATATTGTGACAGCACAGAAACTTTTTACCAACTTACAATTACCGCTAACTACCAAAATTTGACAAAAAGCTGTAGTTTTACAAGATGTCTCATAGAACTTAAGTTAATACTGAGCTAATGCTGCTCTTAAGAATAATAATGTGCATTTATAACTAGTAGTTAAGTAAATATATTTTAATTTCCTTTCTGACTGCTTCTGAAGTTCATCATAGAAATGAGTCAATCAATTATGATATGGAGCATTTAATCCAGTTTTTCTTGAATTAATAGCTGCGTAATTTGTTGAAATATACCATTCACATAAATTATGATTATAAAAATAAAATTGCTAAAATCTATTACTAAAAGAGATGTTTTGCCATTAGTGCAGTAATGGCCAAGAGAAGTTCTACTGTACAGTTTTTGTTCGGGCCTCAACTGCTCGTACATGTAGTATGTAGTGTTTTCTGGCAGCGCCTCGCTCCAATAGGCTCACCTGACTGATGGCTGGCTTTGTTGTATTAATAGACCTTGGGCGGCCTATCTCTTCCTCATTGATTTCATGCCTCACATTCACACTGGTACACTGTATTGTCACCCCACTCCCATGTCCTAAGTGTCGTGCTGTGTAACAAGTCTCTACACACTTGTAATCAAGGTTTACTTCTTATAGAGGTTTGCAATAATATGTGATTAGGGGTAAAATAGAATGGATGCTAAGTGAATGCGAAAATATGTGCAGCCTTAATATTGATTAGGATCAGCTAGTTCTTTTGCCAGAACCATTTATTTAAAACCTAATGGTCGATAACAGCAGAAGACAGTTGCAAACCATCTTTGGCAACTGACTTTTGTCAACATTTAATCAAACTGTTCATTGTCAAGCTTTTAATTGTTGACACCAATGTTGATCAATTTTCCCCATTTCTACATTAAACTGAAGTTACCCTCTCATCTTCCAACTTATCCATAAACTTATCAATATACGTCATCCATAAATAGTACTTTCTGTCAATATGTGTTGTTCATGATCATTAAGAATGTAAAGTGTTACTTTTAACAAATTACTATTTAGGAAATAGTTATTCAATTAATTTGTTTGATTTAGTGTCAAACGCAAATACAAAAAAAATTTAGAGTGTGAAACAATGTTAAAAGGAGCAAATAGCAACAAAAAAACTGTCCCAGTTTTGGAAAGTTTAATCAGAGAATGACCTTTGTAAAATTGGATCTTAACTTAGCATCTCATCTTGTTATAGTCCGTCCATTTGGCTATGATACCCAGCGGATTAGGAACCTTCTCGGAACTCAACTCACTCTCCCGACCCGCTTGGGCTGACAAACAGTGACTCACCCACTGTCACAGTCCCACAGATCTGTAACTTGTATCATAGCCAAAGGGGCGGACTATAACAATTGGTTTTATTTTAATTAGCTCCATTAAGATGTATGTAGACTCTCTTTTACAATAAAAATGTAATTGAAGTCCCAAACTGAAAAATACAACCCCAAGTGTAGTTCAATTAAGTTGTGCATAAAATTTTTTTATCTAAAAAATGTATTATCATATTTACATCAATTCCCTCCAACTGTACTTTGGGGCAAAGCATAGCTAATTCAAACACTTTTTTTAATAAATACAATAAAATAATGTTGTCTACATGTATGGTATTTTTCCCTTCAGACCAAATGATAAGGACAAATTGTAATGAAAAATTAATCATACACTTGAAGGGATAGCTTGGACTTGAAGTTTAACTAT